TGGTCAATTCGTAACTCAGAAAAATGAACTTTGCACATTGTGTCACCAACGTTCGTTCGTCTTTTCATCGCAACGATGTGAAAATTTTTTTGTTAAAAGTACGAGCCAGGGCACAATTAATTACTCATTGCAGAATTGTGGATGGATTTTGGATTTTAATGCTTAGGAGCTGTTATTTGATGATTTTTTTATATTGATTTCGAGTTGGTTTATTGATGAGTTATTTTTCATTTTCTTCAGAAACTAACAGATCATTTTCGGTAGTCACCCAATTGTTCGATGACCATCGAAAAGGCAAATTTCAAGCGTTGGTTTCTTTACAGTCAATAACCATGAACCCAAATGTGGGGCCACCGTCCCAACTCTACCATGAACTGTGTGTGCATTTTGTAAGTTGTCTAACGATAACTATCAAGTGCTGACTGCGTGTCGTTCTCTGCACAACGTGTTTAATTAAATGCTTTCACTAGCTGGGTAGCCCTCTCAGTCTCGTACGTGCACGTATTATAAGACGGGAGATTATTTGAATGAACAGCTGGATTATTGGTCTATGCGAAAAACATGGAGAAGCTGATGAGCTGTGAACGAGTTGACCGCAGTGTGATGCTTCAGGATTGCAGACGGCAAATGGTTTTAACTCTGCAATAATGGTTTTAACCAGTCAAACCAGACACTTTCCAGTTCTTCATTCAGTGATCTGGAAGTCTTTTGAGAGAATTTCTTTTTTGCTTCTATAACTCTTCATTTTCAGCCTGAAGTGCAGTCTGTGAGTGTTTATGCCATAGTTGGATCATGTTAGTCCGATACTAGGATCAGACCGCCACCACTAACAGCACCGCATCGAACAGTACAGTTTTCTCAGGCTTAAATTTAACTTGTACTAGTCTTCGATCAATTTTAGCCTTGTTTATACTTGAGCTCACAATTCATTAGGCACGCCCAAGCATTAATTGATGCTTTAATAAGTTGACGTTAGCGTTAGTGCCCATGGTAAGTTGTCACTATGTGAGTTCCTAAAAGCCAACCGCAGACGTGGAATAGGCGAATAGCTAGGCAACATGTTTTAAAGGGGGCTGCTAGTACTGTTTCAGTTCTGCTGCACTTCTTGTAAAGCANCCCCGAGCCACGAAAACTTTGGGAGGGGGGGGGAAGGGGTGGATGTTGATCTGCATTTCGGTAGATGGACAAGTCCCTCCATGCTCACGGCATGAAAGCATTCCAGGGGAATCTATTTTTGCATCATCTCGTCATGTAAGAGGTGACGGAAGGGAACTAGGAAACTGAAGTAATTGTGTTTGTTGTAAAAATAGAGGTCGAATTGTTGGGAGAGGTCAAGGGGACTACACCAAATCATTCACCCGCAATCTGCAGCGAAACTCAAAACATTCACCATAAGAGCATCAAGCCGGCGCTCATCAGAGAGCTAGACTTTATTGGAGAAAAACTTGTCCAGTGGGCACACAGATCAAGACTGTGAGGAAACGGCTTCTCATTGAACCCCCAAGCACCCCTACCGATAAAGCAGCGAACCACATTTCTTCAGAAATGTGCAGTTGAGTGGCTAAAAGCTTCGCCAACATGTGTACCAAATTTTCCTTCACTGTTATTTCCCTTAATTCCCAATCCGCCACCAATATTCAAGGCTTCTGAATATTTTGGGTGACCGATAATTGTACTTCCGACTAGTGTTGGGTCGGTGGCCACCGAAAGTCGGTCGGTAATCACCGGCGGTTTTGCGGTGCTACCCGATCGTCTGCGAGTACCGAGTTGCAGTGATTACCGACCCGTCGGTATCGCTGACCGCAACCGACAGGACGTGCTCGGTCGGTGACGGTGGCTAGTCGCCCCGCGGTTACAACCGATCGGCAACCGACCGATTCTCAAAATTATGCGCTCGGTGAATACCGAGTTGCGGTAATCACCGACACGGCTCTCGGCCATTGACCACCGAGAGGAACCTAGCGGCTCCCAACACTACCCCCGAAAAGTAAAAGTAAAAGTAAGGCGCCGTACTAGTCGGTCACCATTGAAACTTCGTTTCGGTTCGTGCACTCAATGGTGAATGTGCGTTCGCACTGCCAAGGCAACGAATCGAAACGAACTTTGTGCGGAGTGCAACTGTCGCGGGTTCACTTGCCGGAGGTCCAGTTATCGTAGACCCTCCCCGATATTCACGCTCAGAATTTGGGCGCAGTGGCCCAGTAACCAGGAACTCGCATTCGGCATTCGTAGCACCTCCACTCGTCCATACGACTCGAACTTCGAACTTCAGTCACGATCCAATAATGCAGTCCTAGCCAGTAATTTCGATGCGTGATACCAAATAATCAACGTTTCTCAATTCCAACCCGAGCTCATCGAAGCTCCGAGTTTCATGTCCCATGAATGCAAGGTGTCCCCAATAATAAAGCATGCCTGTGGAGATGTTATATTTGACGAATCGAGCGTGCAGTCTGTTGTGCACTCTGCATATATTCACTGATGATATGCTTTAACAATAATTTTTGCCAATAAAGTGCTGCCATCAGTTTTTAACGGGTTATTCCAGTGTTTTAGTTGCTCCTTGTAAATTGATGCCCGGACGCGGTTCTCTTATTTGCTCCCGATGGAGATACCAACGTCGAGCACTGACCACTTCTGGAGCCCCATAGGGTATTATTAACTTCAATAAATCGTACCGCTTACATCGCAGCACAAAAATTAGCATTTCGGTGGCCTGTGATCAGGTCACTGAAATGCTAATTTATTAATCGAGTGCCAGCAAAATAAGTGCAAAGGTTTCGAAATTTTTTTCGCAATATGCTTCGAATTCCACTGTCACCCAATTTAAACCCGATGTGGTGAGTGTGTCATAACGCTGATGTGATGGGTGCTCCCATTCCGTTGCCAGCATAGAGTACAAGCTCAAGTTGACAATAAAGGAGCACTAATTGTAGGTGCAGTCTGGTGGACGTGAGTTTATTGCTGCACAAATTTGACATGTCTGTGTCAGTGTTTATATGAACGGAATTGAAGATTCCTTTCTGTAAAAAAAACGCGATTCGTATCGACTTGAAGTGTGTTGTGTTGTCGAAATGAAATTCACTGAGCGAATGCAGTTTTCAGCGAAAAACGTTTTCATTACGGTCAGAGAGTGATAAATAAAAGAGAGCAGCGAGATCAAGTATGGAGAACTGTGAAGGGGATGTATGTGGACTGCACGATGAACCCAGTGAAAAGGTAACATCTTGTATCAGTATTAGTAAAATATCATTGCTCACAGTGTTAGATCAGAATCAGCGTTCATTTCAGTATTTTGATTGAAATTGATTTTAATCTGATTATTTATATTTATTTTGTTGTTATTTCATTTCTGAAAGGTCGATTGATTATTGGGATTTCCATCTTATTGAACTCACTTGATTGCGTTCATTATGTAAGGTAGATAACTTATTTTAAACTTTACTGCTCTTTTTTCTATTAATAATATTGTCACTATTTCTATATATTGCTAATGATCATTGGCAATATTTATTGCTATTGTTTCGCTAAGAGGTCCTTAATGTGATTTCCGCTTCACATCAGTTTATATAATGTAAAGTTATCAGTTGGTGTGTATTGATTAGTTTTCAGGCGCAGGAAGCTGAAAACAACAAACAACTTGAAAACACATCTTGTAGTGCACCATCGGATCAATCTGGGAGTTCGTTTTGTTTGAATTTGTCGGATATCCGTCAATATTTCCCGAAAACAGCGAATTATAAGGTTGGCTTGAAATATTTCATTTTCTTTATTAAGTTTTTCAATCTGTGATGCTGATTGGCATCGTTTTTTTTGTGTGATTTCATATGATTAGACACTGCAGTCAAACAGTTGAAAAGAACTGACGATGAAAAACACACGGCAGAAGGTTCGAATCCTTTCGTGGTCCCGGGTTGACTCCCAGCCGAATGAGGGGACTACGGATGAGGACTTACCTTTCCAAAAGTTCAAATTAATTCTCATCCCTCCAAATCTCTTNAACAGTTAAAGTTGCCAAGTGATGAATATGGTTGAAATGCTTGAGTTGCCCTTCCTGTTTTAAATTAACGGCCAGCTTTATTTTTAAAAAAATCATCACAGGTAAATGATAGTAATCACTCGAGTCCATGGTGTGCGGTTCCTGAAAGATGGGCACATGCCAGAAGTTTCCTTCGGGATAAATTGAATTATTGGGTTCAAACGCTCAAGAGGTTCTTTTTGTTTCCGATACTTTGAATTCCTCATCTTCATTATAATGATATGTTAAATAAATTTTTGTGTTCTGAAGTATTTTGATAAAATTGGCGTGGTTAGTTTTAGTGGTGAAATTTCTGTAAAGTCTAATTGTAAGCAAAATCTTTGTTTTTTTTTTTTGCAAGAATGTTTTTTTTTTGAATATTTATTGTTTCAGTGTTAAATTCAGCGATGAAAAAGATGAACAAATTGCGATGCGAGTCATCCATCAACTGGCGTGGTTATTGAAAAATTCATGGGATGGTCGCAGAGAATCAGAATGTCCTTCTGAAACGTTATGGCGTGCAAGAAGAAGTGAGTAATGATCCACTTATTATCCCACCACTCCTATTTTTATGTTTTCCCGGGCATAAGCATGCAAAGGAAACATGTCACTAATCGTCTAGATTCGGCGAACGATCGAATCGATTATTATAGTGATCGTACTGGTGTGAACCGAATTGGTACATCTTTTATTACTTACTACGAATCGGCCCAAGAACTGTTCACAGGAACAACAACAGTAGTAGAAAAATGGACAGGA